TGGACGTTTTTCCAGCTTTAGAGAAGTATCCGCTTGAATTGAAAGAAATGTGTCGTCGTTCGATTGCTCTTCAGCTAGTATGTCGAATTCGAGTGAAGGTGATTGTATCGCATCGAGTGTAGGTCTTGATAATGCATCTGCAACGGTGTTATTTTGTCCATTTACGTATCGAATGTCCGACGTAAACTGACTGATGTAATCCAGGTAGCGAATGTTTCGAGGGTTTAGTTTGTCAGACTTCGCGTGCAGTGCGTAGGTTAACGGCTTATGATCAGTGAGAATAATAAAGTCTGTGTCGATAATGCCGTATCGCCAAATAAACGGCAAGTAATTCTCTTTAAAATGTGCTATATTTTTTCTGCGCAGAATTCAGTTTGAGTGAGAAAAACGACAAAGATGTTTCGATGCCATCCGTAACTTGGTGTAACACAGTATCAATTGTGTCAGCTGACGCATCTGTAGTTAATGTAAGTTTAGCGTTTTCCGATGAGTTAATATATAATTTGACACAGTTCTGCAATGCATCCTTTGCTTGTTGGAACGAACGAAGCTCGTCTCGAGATAGTGATATCTGCAAATTTTTTCGTTCATGCAGAGATAATATGTTTGTTAATGGTAATAGTATCGATGCGCAATTCGGGATAAACTGTCGGTAGTAGTTTATCATGCCCAAAAATCTTCTTAACTGTTTTAGCGTGGAAGATGGAGGATAATTCGTTATCGCAGTAATTTTCTGATCAAGGGGAGTCAATCCATGTTGGTCTAAGATATGCCCGAGGAAAGTTAAACTCGGAACTGCGAAAACACATTTGTCTATATTGATTTTTAAACCATAGTGTAGTGGACCGTGGCTGTGATATTGTTGAGTAGACGTAGAACAACACATGTGGGTTAAGATTTTCCTGCTAGCCGGTCCAACTACATGAAAAAGTTGGACTTTAATTTAGTCCAAAGAATGCAAAGAAAACAAACACAAGACCGATAAACATATGTATACAAATATATATATTAATAACAAGTTACATGGAACAGTTACAAAGGACAAAGTGTGTGTGTGAATATTATATATGTGCGTGTGTGTGTGTGTGTGTGTATTGTGCTTAGCGTGTTCCCAGCATTTGGGAAACGCTATCTCTGTGAGCGCTTACATTTGCTGAAAGCCTGAGGAAAAAGAGAAGAAGAGGCGAAGGGTTAGCGACTATTTATAGCCAGGGAAGAGAGACCCCTGGTGAAAGGGTTAACGAACTAAAGGAGAAGTTAACTCCAACAATAGTGTTGTAATCTTTTGAGAACCGCGTGTAAATGCTCATGGTGTTCTTCATGCGACTTGCTTGCTATGAGTACGTCGTCTATATAAGCATACGTGTAGAGCATTCCACGTAGTACTTCGTCAATTAGCCTTTGAAAAGACTGCGCCGCGTTACGTAGACCAAATTCTCGTAAATTCGAAAAGTCCGAAAGGTGTTGTAATAGCTGTTTTCAGAATGTCAGCTTCCTCTATGGGGATTTGATAATATGCTTTTTTTAGATCGAGCTTGGTGAATACTTTAGCGCCTTCTAACGAAAGGGCGAAATCTTTAATATGCGGAATTGGGTACTTGTCCGGGACAGTTTGTTCATTTAGGAATCGGTAATCGCCGCACAGACGCCAACTGGCTGAGTCAGCTTCAGATACCATATGTAGAGGACTGGCATAAGGACTGGCTGAAGGACGGATTGCACCTAATTTGAGCATGTTGTCAAATTCGTCGCGAGCTATTTTTAGTTTACTTGGATGGAGTCTGCGAGGTTGAGAATGGACTGGAGGTCCTGTAGTTTTAATATTATGGGTAGCATGGTGCTTTACGGATTCAATCTGGGTTGACGGTGACAGTAGCGATTGGTACTGACATATTATCTTTTCGTAGCCATTGGCTGTAGGTAAAACAGTAGTCAGACCGATTGTCGAATACTTAGAAATCAAACCGCAACGTTGTAAATTTGTGCTTGTGTCAGTTAAAGTTTGTGACGCCAACTCAACAGATAGTTTGTAATGGGTTAGGAAATCCGCTCCTATAATCGGCATTGCATTATCTGCGATAGTAAAAGTCCACGTAAAGTCACGTCTCAATCCGATGTCTAATGTTAGTGTTCGCTCACCATACGTGGTGATTGGAGTACCGTTAGCTGCCTGTAACTTGAAAGGTGTATACTTGACTAGGGCTTGTCTATTGCAATTTTTTAAGGACAGAACACTTATTTGAGCACCGGTGTCAATCAAGAAATTTAAACCGCTCGCTCTATCTTGGATATAAAAGAGACGATTTGTTCTAAAATATCTGGCATCCAACGTCTCTACTGGGTGCCAGCGAGTCCGTTTCCCGCTTGTTGGTTTAAAAGTATCTTTTCGTACGAACATGGTGGTCGGCATTTCTTCGCGCGTGCGCCAAAATTTTCGTGGTACCAGCAATTGGCATGTTGGTAATAATCGCGGCGTTGCCGGTATTTATGTCGAGACGTTGATCTTGAACCACAGTTTTTGTGTCTCGTAAAATTATTACTTCGACTTTCATGTGGTTTTTGTAGATTCTGTAGCTGTAAGGACATTCTTTTGAGTTCTAAAGACAATTTTTGAATTTGTTTGTTAACATCTGGCTACAGTCTCTTATATGCACAAGTTTGTCGTTGCTTGGAAATCTTCCATGTAAACAGAAACAAACTATCATCACTGCCTCTCCGTGTATTGCTTAATATATTGTAATGTAATTGTCATCTTTGATAATGGCTTATGTAAGCCGAAAGCTTAGATAGGATTAAAAAATATGTATCAATATTGTGATTTTCTTTCTTCGATTAATGATAATGTTATTAAAAAGCTTATCAGATGATATTAAAAGAATTTACATAAAATAAATGTCTATAGTTGTCTATATTATTTAATGAAACATGTATCAATGAAAAATGCTGCCTAAAAAATACACACACAATATATATATATATATATATATATATATATATATATATATATATATATATATATTCCTAAATTTTCATTAATGCGATTGTTTTCGGTAATGTTTTTGCATTATTTTTTGCGACGAATTCTTTTGTACAATAACAATTTTTATAAATTGGGAATAAATTTGGCAATAATCGAAAATAATTGCGAAATCCAGAGAAAGTCACCCATGAAATAAAAATAATTGTTAAAAATAATTGTTTGTACGGGAAATAAGGACCTACGTACATCGAAATGTTTTTAATTAAGTGGCGACAGAAGAATTATCGGTAGACTTTTAAAAGATAAGCTTAATGCAATACTTAAATGCAGCGATGAATTTTAAATTCTTCTGTAGTTTATTGTTGCCTATCGCATCCACTCCTCCCTACCTATTGTGATGAAAGCCCAATCAAGAGCTCTTCGCAAGAACCGATAAGGCGAGTTTTAAGCTAGTATATAAATATTAAAACATGTTTGGTTGAATAATATGGACAAGTTCTGTCATTTTTTTTATTAACATTTTCAGATTTCCGAATAGGTTGTTTTATATAATCGGTAAATTTACTAAAATTTATTTTTAGTTTTTGTCTGTTTTTCCATGAGTATTTTGGAATGTTATTACATTTGTTTTCAAGGATTCTGTTTTTGTGTATATGTGACTTTTATTCCCGACGGTGACGTCATAAGCGTAAAACACACAAAAACACAAATAATCAGTTTGGCTTCTTTTATTTTAGGTGGTTACTTTTTCAAAGAAATTCTGTTAGTAAATTTCTAATTTTCGTAATTTGTTTACAAATACAATTTAATAACTTTTGTACTAAAAAAAAAAAAAAATTATAAACTAGTTTGGGTTGGCAACCAGCCTAGGAGAAGAATAATTCAATTTAAACCCAGATTGATGTAGGATTTGCAACTCCACCCCGCTAAAACTCACTTCCTCCGCAAACCTCAGCAGTAACTGCTACTTTGGTGAGGCTGTGAGTTTACAGTTTATTTTCTTTTTAACAGAAATTGCTGAATGAAAAAGGGATTTGCTTTCAAAGTCAGACAGATTTCTTGAAATTTAATAACAAAATTAAATTTGGAATATGACTTCATTTCTTTTGTCATCTGTATTTGTTTGTAATATGATTTTAATTAATTAATTAATTAAATTATTAATAATTAGCGTTTGTTTGAGTATTTACTGAAAAGAAAAATTCTTTATAAACTCATCTTGTGATTTGGGATCGATTACTGTTGAATGAATAAAATAAATAAATAAATAAATAAATAAATAAATAACCATGCGAATATGATGAGATACCTAAAAAAAGAATCGATAAAAAAAATCAGTGTACAGTAGAGACATTCAATTTTTAAAATACCAAAAAATTTATATACTCAAAAATTCTATGAAAAGAAATAACTGCGTTATAACAATGATTTCAAACACATACATTTCATAGCTAAAATTAAAATATATTATTAAAAAATATAAATAAAATCGAAACAAATCAATCTCATCTAAAAATCAATACTTAGTTGGCCCGAACATTTCCGAAATATCCCGAACATTTTTTATCACGATTACAGCAGACGTTAAATTTCATTATTCTCTGGATAAAAATACATGGATTTAAATTTGTGAAATCGATATAAAGAAATATTTTCTTTATTCATTAAGTAAGCATTTTTTGAAAATACTCTTGTACTTTATTTTTAAGATGCATTTGAAATAAACTTTAAGCACAACTTAATAGTGATTTTCCTCATTCACACAAAACCTTCCGGAAAGTGCCGAAGTATTTATCACGTGATGACAATTTTAGAAGCTCTTGCCATTGTGGAAAATACCGATGAATCTCCGTCACTTTACGCTTCGGCTTGAGTATCATTCAATTACGAGAAAAGCCGATTTTATTCGGAAATTGCCGAATATTTTCGGCCGAATTCTTCTCTATCATTGCAGACGTCAACACCAAAAAAAAAAGAAAGAAGAGAAAGGGTTGAAGAAAGGCTTAAAAACGGACTGACCATGGCAAGCCACAAGTCGGTGGATGCGTATACAAAGCGCGCTATCCGTCTCATGGTGACTGTGTTTTTCCTGGTAGTACTCTTCGTTCCTAGTATGGTCAATAGCAGCATTTCTTCTTCATCGCCTTCGACCTCGTCTATTCAGTATTGTTCTTTCTTCAGCAACAGAGCGCCATCGCCCCAACCGGGCCTTAAAAACTGTACCTGGTTTAAAAGCAACAGTTGTTGCTTGCAAGAGGAAATTTCCGCCACTTTCGGACGGGTGAAACCTTTACCTGGTGCCGACAAGAATTGCCAGAATTTCCTGAATTACCTGATGTGTTATATTTGTGCCCCAGACCAGAACACTTTCTACCTGAGGGAAAGACTGACAGTATGTAGAGAGTTTTGTAACAATTTCTACGAGGCATGTCGCACGGCAGTCCTCAAAGGATCCATCATCGGAGATTTATATTCAAATGGCAGTCAGTTCTGCCTGAGTCGTAGTTTTAAGGTCGACGATGCCGCTAATGGTTACTGTTTTAACCACGCGATTCAAGAAAAAACCAGCGGTGCGGTAACCCTCAGAACTTTTTGTATGTTTGGCACTTCTCCGCCATTCTTTATTATTTTCTTGTTGATTTGCTTTGTTTCGTGGGTGATGGCCTTAGAACCGCCGCCTTTAGTCTGGGAAAGATGGTCTTTGGGGGCTTAGTCTTTTTGGGTTTTTTTTTTTTTTTTTTAACTCTAAAAAAAGACGCAATCAAATCATTACTTAAAAAGAAGTCGTTATTCACCAATGTTACTCTATTTTCTTTTTTTTTACCATCCTCATAATTGCAAATAATTACTTTTTTTTTTTTTTTTTTTTTTTTAAGTCCTCGACATTGCAACGATGATCCAGTCGATTATGTCATAGAAAAATATACCAAAATAAAATATTTCAAAAAAATTCTTAAACCTAAACAAAAGCATCGATCAAAATTCAAAAATAAGTAAAAATTACTTTCTATACATTTTATCCAGTAGCAATTTACTTATTAATTAAAATTACATTAATGAGCAACTCTATTCGAACGTAAAGAAAGGTGATTTTTTTTTTTTATGAAACGATGCACTTTCAATTCAAAAAAAAAAAGGTTCTCAACAAGTCGATATTTCTTCTATCTTTTTAAAACCTTACTCTTTTTAGTCATTTTTACGTTTTTTCATCATTTTCTTAAAAATATCAATTCCCTAAATTTACGAAAAAATGATTGTCAATATTTTTAAGAAGGCATGTTTGCTTTGTTAAAAAGATTCTAAATTTATTTACCAATAACCCACAAGAACTCAACAGACTACTGTTTTTTTTTTTTAGAGACTGTTGAAGCGGAAAAAAAAGAAAGGTATATTCAATTTACAGTTGTCTTTTTTCTATTTTTTTCTTTTTCATAAAATGTTATTTTAATTTATCTTTAATCTTAACGCTGTTGAAAATAATGGTTGTTTTCGTTGTGGTGACGGACACTTTGTTTCTTCCTTCATATCTTAGTCACCCTCCCTCCTGAAATTTAAACTGCCAACCCGTCCTACGATTGGAAAATACTTGCCCTCCCGTTATCAATTTACGTAATGGCAAGAGCAAAATGCGATTTTAGACGATAGCGCATTTCGTGTATACACACACACACACACACACACACACCTACGAGGAAAATGCATAGATGACCCTGCAAGAAAAAATAGGGGACCATGTTTTTTTGTTTTTTTTTTCTTCATGCATTTGTAAAAGACGAAGATTTGTTTAACTTTTAAACCGGAAGTGACGTCACTTCAACATCTGAAGTTGACAACCATTATTTACTATTTGAATTTTTTGTTTTACACTTTGTTTTAATTTTTGAAGTATGCAAATAATCTGTTAAAAGAAAAATCAATATATTCCTTTAAAAATGGTGCCAAATATAATATGGACAAATTTCTTGTTTCTATCTAATTTCCACCACTTTTTTTTTTTTTTTAACTGTTTGGTTGTTAAAGACTAAAGAGTTGTACTGACACAATTTATGCATTGTTATTGTTTCAGTTTCCTTTTGTTTACTCCTTGAACGTCTCACACTCTGAAATTTACATGTGACTAAAAACAATAAGTAAAAATTGCCAACCAAATACGTCTAACTAGGATAATTTACTAAGCAAAAATTTAAAAAAAAAAACAAAAAAAACGTACACGACTTTGTTGTTTTTTTTTTTTTTTTTTTTACAAGAAAAAAAAAGCATTTCTGCCAGTCACATTATTCAGTTGCCTTTTTATTTCCTACGAAAGAATACTCTTCATGTTTTTCTGTTAGTGTTCTGTTGATGACACTACAAATCCAGCATCTTTTTTTTTTTTTTTTTTTTTTTTTTTTTCAATTGGAGAAATTAACTTCTGACAGTTTCAGTTGGAATCAAGATAAGAGATTGCTCATGCGATAATTTTTTTGTGTGTGTTATAAGGAGTAATAATTAAACATTAGAAGGGACAATTTCAGCAGTTTAACAAATCGAGCATTGTTAACTTCAGCATAATTCAAACTAATTCTGCTTACAAGTGATTTATTTCCCTTAAAAATGTCTGGTTTTTAAAGTAAACGCTCACATTCCTGGACCCCCTTTCCTTTGGCTTTGAATAAGTCTTTGAATGAAAAAGTAGTTCAAAATACAATTTATCTAAATCTGTTCATTCTTTTAACTGTCCAAGTGAAGATGGTATATAAGTACTAACTTTGAAAATTACTTTGCAAGAAACACTACCATCATTAGGGGTGATGAATAACATCAATCACCTATGTGACAAATTTTGTATGCGCGGCTAACTAACACAGAAAATTGTGGTAGTAAGTAATTTTGTAATTGTTTTCATTATTGAGCTTTGTGTTCTGTACTTCCTGTATAAAAATAACATTTTATTCACCATTGTTGAACAATGAAGACTTTCACAATAGAGTAGTTCAATTACCTTCTATTTGTGTGTTTTATTAAAAAGTACAGACATGTTATGTCTTAAGTAACTTAAGTTTAATCATCCTTATTAAATTGCGAAAGATTAGGATTAGAAAAAAGATGATTAGACCTAAAATTTTCATTCTTTCAATAAACAATATAACTGCTGCAGCCTAATTTACACCACACACACACATATGGGGTAATTGAACTTTCCTTGATTGTGAAGGTATTCTGTGGCTGAGTGGTCACAAAACATGCCATGCTTAATGCAATGGCCCTTTCCCCTACAACACATAGGGTGATGTGTGTGCCAGGCGGCACACTTTCTTAAGACTCTCGAATAGACAGGCTGGTACTGTTTAAAAATGGGTGGGGGTCTACTTAAGCATATAAGTCTTTTTTGGGTTTTTTTTTTCTCTTACTCCAACATTTTAGTGGGTATATAAGTTTGAATAGACAGGTTTGATTTTTCTTTTATAAACAGAAAATGTTACCTATCAGCCTTGACGATGAAAATCTTTTTATGGGAGATGTGCAGTGCATTTCTTAAATAGGATAATTGAGCTTTGCTTTGCTAAGTTCTCACCGGGCTGACCTAAAGCATACCTAATTTCAAGGCAGTTTTCTCAGGATAAAGGGAATGAAGATTTTATCCTTACCAAGAAGTGTAAATCTTCTTTATTAAAACTTTCAATTGACCAGGCTAGTAGATGTCAATTTTCCTTTTTTTTTAAGCAAAAACAAGGATGTCTACTCAATGTGTACTCACTACTAAATATAGCATTTCTTGTAAGATATATGTACCACAAAGTAAAATGACATTAAACTGATCCAACAACAAAAGAAAATGGATTTTCTGAACTTGTTTTTAAGATTTCTTTGATAAAATAGTCTGTAAATATTAAAGTAAATTCTAACCTTTTTACTTCATCTTTAGTTAAAATGAAGTTAAGCAACATCGAGTTTGGTCAGTATGCAGGTGGATGACCGCTTAGGAACATCTGGTGCTGTAAGCTTGGATGTGTAGGTGGTGTAATGGATAATGACTCCAAATTGGAGAGCAGAGTTCTAAATTCAGTTGGGTTTATTATATTTACTTACATGCAGATACCTTTCCCAAAGGTACGAAACCCCCTCTTCTCCTTCCAGTATGGGTTAGACTTGTATCACTAAAACTGTTATCTCAAAAGAAAAATAGATTAAATTATGTACAAAATATTTAGATTTAGTTAAAACAATTTTTCCTCAAAGTGTATACACAAAATATTCCGGACAATATCTTTCTCTTCTAAAACCAAAAAAAAAAAAAAGAGCTGAAAACATTCCAAAGTGTGGTTTTTATTATCTTTCTAAATATAAAGAAATAATGAAGTTCTGATTAACATGGGTCCATTTGACAAATATGGAAGTTAATTAGTTTTATTGATTATTCAATTATGTTTTTGTTTAATTAAAAATAATCGATATCTAAGCCAGACAAACCCATGAAGTGTACAACCTCCCATCTATTTATAGTAGGACCCTTGTCACTTTGAAGAATTGCTAACTACAATTTCACATGCAGTTGGTTCAAATTGGCAAAGCTTTCATGTTCAAACCTTTTAAACAAAGACTATTTTGCAAAATATATTTCAAATGAGTAAAATATAAGGAAAAAAGATAAAATTCATACAAAAATTTAAAATAATATAAATAAAATAACATTGAAAAATGTAAAAAAAACAACAATACTCAATTTAAATGTTCTCAAAGCTGTTAAAGTTCCAATCATCAGATCCTGAAGAGAAAAACTAAAAAAAAAAAACTGGATTGTCTACTGAAATTGTTTTAATTTAATATTTCATAGAGGGGGAGTTGCATCATCACCTGTCATTAAATGAACTTAGAATATATAGAAAAATATTGCTGATTAAAGTAAAAATTGATTTTTACAATGGTAAAAATTTACATTATAATTAAAAAAAACAAAAAAAAACAATGGGGGTTATTTCCATTCCAGTAAGGGGTGGGGGCAAAAACTTCTGGAAAATTTTTTATATATTTAAAATAGTTTCAATTTGCCAGTGAAAAACTATGAATATACCTAGTATATGTTTTGATATTTTATTTTTATTTATTTTGCATATTTATCTCCTTCCCATAACAACTATGTTAATGATGACAACGACTATTATTATTATTAAATAAAAGTTGCTATTCATGTTTTAGGATTATCCTCATTTTTGTTGTTGCCATTGTTCATTTTGAATTATAAATTCAACAAAGCCAACAAAATGTGCATTGGATACAGTCATTTAACAAAGGTTTGAGAATAGACCAGCCATAAGATTTTTGAGAAATAAATAGATGGTGATAGTACAAAAGAGTGTATATTAACTGGACCAGATCTTGAAATATTGTTTAGATTCAGAAAGTATCCTCAACATATCTGTTTCTCATAAACACATTAATTATTGAAGTCGTGAAAATGGAATATTGCTCTTCAGTTTGCAAAGATTTTTTTAACCCATTAATGATAAAAATAATATATAAAATCCAGTATTTATTATAAAAATTAAAATCTGGTATTAATTGTAGCTTTCTAAAAAAAAAAAAAAAAAAAAAATTCTAGCATTAATTATAGATCTATAAAAAAAAAAAAAAAAAAAAAATTTGATATTATAGTTTTCTACATATAACCGAAAAATGTGACAGGGCAATATTTAATTGATTAACTGACTTACAAGTTTGGATACCTTGGTTGAGTCTTTCATTCTGCCTTTCCACTGAAATCAAGTCTTAAATCATAAAATCTTTACCATCCTATCATGTAAATATTTTCTTCACATTTACTTTAATAGAAGCTAGGGACAAATAATTAGGAATTTTACAAAACTGTAATCAGTTTTTGTTTGAAAGCATGAGTCCTGTATCTTGCTAATAGTCAAATGAATATCTGAAAATTAAAAACAAAATATTTGATCTTTTAATCAAATGCATATTATTTCAGATATTTATTTGACCTGGAGACGGATGGGCTCGGCCAGGTCTGTTTACCCAGATATTAACACACAATCAAGTCTGGAAGGTGCTTGTCGGGTGCTCAGTTGTGAAGTGATCTTATGACCACCCCCAATCATGGGACCGATATTATTATTATTATTATTATTATTATTATTATTATATATATACACACACACACAGTTTACTTAGACATGATTTGTTTTAATCTATTAAGTTTCAAATGAAAATTTGATTTCATTTTATCTTTGTCAGAATATTGATTACTTTTTTGTTTTAAGTGAAGGAAGAAAAGCTAATACTCTTACAGTGTGAATCGAATCAAATTATCCGAGTAGATCATTATAGTACCAGGTTGGGTCTTTCATGATATTTCTCAAGGCAATGGGGATTACTTGACGGTGCCCATCTACTCTTCCAGTAATATGTGACCAGTTGTACTGGGTTATGTGGTACAAACAGCCAAG